ACTCTTATATTTAAGTAAAAACAGAAAATTAAAAAGAAATCCCGCATTGAAACAAACCAAAAATGAAAAGCTGCAAGCATCTTATACAAAAAAATGTATATCTCAGCACGAATAAGAGAATAGTTCATTTTAAAAACCAACAAAAATAGGATATGAAAATGTATAAATTATTTAAATTCTAGAATTGCTGTTTGTTCAAAAAATGACCAAAGTGATAATGGCTTTTACCTCCGGAGAGCTAGATTCAATATCAATGAATCTGGTGCTGCCAAGTCTTCTTGGAAAACAAGATGGGTACATTGTCAACTGGAGTTGCTTATTCATATCTGGCTCTGGGAATGGCATTTCTGTCTTCTAATGGTATAGTGGTAGTCCTTCCAGGTCCAAGACTCACTTGTAGGTGACATGTGCAGAAACAATGTTTGTCTGGACCACCTGCAGAGATGACTGGAGAGGGGAGGCTTATATAGGACTTAGAAAGGACTTCAGAGTAGCCGGAAAAACCTGTTGGACACATCCAATGATGGTCACTAAGCACCATTGTCCTACTTGGTAGTATTGCACAAAAGTACTCTAAATTTAGCGATTTAAAACAACAACCATTTTATTGTGCTCAAGGATTCAAGTCAGAAATTTAGGAAGGACTTGTCTAGGAGGTTTTCAGCTGGGGCCTCTCATATAGTTGTGGTCTGCTGTTAGGCTTGGCCTTTAATTTCGTGTCTGATGATTTGACTGGGACACACTTCCAACATGACTCTCTTCACATGGCTGGTCGTTGATGCTATTGTTGGCGCTCCACTGGGGCTGCCATATTTACTTATATTTGGCTTCTCCATGTGACTTGAGTGTCCACACTTGATTTGGCTTCCTCACAGTATGGGAACCTCAAAAGAGGTGGACTATCTACCTGTAGCTCAGGACTGCAAACTAGCAGGTAAAGGAAACTGCATTGTCTAAGAAGTCATACAGCACCACTTTGTCTGGATTTTGCTGGTTATGAGCAAGTCACTAAAGCCAGCTCAAATTCTAGGAAAAAGGACAAAGCCTCCATCTCTTGGTGAGGGGCATGTCAAAGAATGAGCAGACACATGCTAAACCACTGCAATCCTCTCTAGTGATTGGATGCCTATTCCTTGCTAACTGCAATTGAGACCTCATACTTGCTCATTTACATTTTTAAGTTTATTTCCAACTTTGTCAATAAGAGATCCACACCATCTAGCAAATAAAAATAGTCTCAGGGGTTCCAGAAGTCACCATTGTCATAGAGCTACTGATATACTTTTATAGTTTGTCAATGATCCTAACTTAAAAAAATTTTTTTAATGTTTATTTATTTATGAGAGAGAGAGAGAGAGAGAGAGAGACAGCCAGCCAGCCAGCCAGACAGTATGAGTGGGGAAGGGGCAGAGAGAGGAAGACACAGAATTTGAAACAGGCTCCAGAGCCTGACCCAGGGCTCGAACTCACGAACTGCTGAGATCATAACCTGAGCTAAAGTAGGATGCTTAACCGACTGAACCACCCAGGTGCTCCAATGATCTTAACTTTTAAATGGCATTTGTGGATCGGGTCAGAGTCATAATTATTCGGGGACAATTCCTTTCTAATATATTGATTTACACTAGTCTCTACATGCATCTTCTTATTCTCTCTTCTTTCCAAAGATAATCCCAACTTGCCTTCCTGTGCCTAAACAGCCAGGTGTCCATGTTGAGGATGGCTCTGCTGAGTTGGACTCAGTGATCAAGTCTTCAGTCAGTGGAAGCCAAAACCTACAGCATGGGGTAACTGAGGAGAAGGGGAAAGGGGTAGAAAAGTGATCAATGGGGGGCTGGATAGACTAATGAAGATGTAAATGAGAAGAAAGAACATAGGAGGTTGCTTAAGGCAAGTGGTTTGGACCCTATTATAGCTCCTAGATCCTATTTTCATATGTATAAAGCTTATACATTTTATGACAACATAGCAAAATGACACCAAGAATCCTGGCATCAGCTATTTGTGACAAGTCAGATGAAATCACCAAGAATGACATCCTCTGATAATGTCACATATATTCCTCCCAATACTATTCTATACATACATGTATTAATGCTTCCATTTGCTGACATGAAGAGAAAATGACTCAAAGGAGCTGAAATGAGTCAAACAATAAGGAGACTTTTATCTGCTCCTGAAACTAAGACACAACAGAAACTGTAATTGTATCCTTCCCATACCTACATCCTATCTGTGAGATCTGACATTATTAACAGCATTTTTTAAATAGTGGTAAACATAAGAGTTACCACTAGTGAAATCCTCAGATCTGATCATCATCAAGTCTTCCTTCACTCTAGTTTTCTTTTATTTCACCTTCTCAATGTCTTACTACATTGCTGCCATGCTGGGGGGTTGAGATGGAGGTGGAGGTGGACACGTCAGAATGGTTACATGAATTCCTTCATTGTCCAGCAATAGTTTACTTAGCCTTGGGCCAAACTCTTCCAGATCTAGGAGATCCAGGATGGTCATTTCCATTTGCCCTCAGTCCATGCTCTTTCTTAAGGCATCTGGAACAGATAAAATGACTGCATTTCTTCTTAGATGTTCTCTAAATATCCTGAGAATTGCAACTGCTATTTTGAATCCCATAGAGCACCGCAAATTCTCCCAACTTCAAAACCTCATTAGAGACTTAGTTCCTGTCCACGGGTAGACTGATAAAGAAGGGCATGTGAACTGATACAAAAGGAAACAGGAGCAAGGCTAGAGGGAGGGGTGACACAAAAGGGTAAGGAATGGACAGAAGTCTACACTAGGGTATAGGCAGGACTGCTATAGACTGCACGCAGTTCTGGGTATAGAATTCATTAGAATAGTGTTCCAAGACCAGCCATGCAGCAGACTACAGAGGTGGAAATCAGAGCAATTGATGAAATACTGCTGGGAAGAATGTGGGAAAGGGATGGTAAGGAGTCTCAATTGCTTAGAAAAAGGCTTTTAGCCTCACTGTTTTCTACACTGCATATATAATTGACTTTTGGCCTCATTTTACATAAGATAAAATGCTTTTCAAAGGTCCATGATCGCCACTGTAGACCAGTTTCCTAGGGCATGACAGAGAAGTCAGATCCCAGCTCAGACACCTGAAAGCTATTAAAATCCAAGGCAAGTTCTTCATAGTTTTGGTTTTGTTTTGCTTTGTTTCAAGGCAAGTTCTTCATTGCAGCGTGTGTATCTTCCTAATGGGGGCATGTTCCATTTGCCTCACAGGGTTGTAGGGAAGTTCCTTGCTCATATAGTCACACAATGGTTACACTTGACTGGGGAAGGGGCTTGGGGAATTGGAGCCATTCATTTGTGTAGAAGGAAAGGGACTTGCGGCCCTTTGGATAACTTCAGCCTGTTGCATTATGGCCCATTTTAGGGCCCCCCATACATACCATGCAGAGGTGAGTGGGCAAGGGTTGGGCTGAGAATCCTCTCACAGTAACTTTCTCTAAGCTGCCTCTTTCCTATTATCATCTTTGCTCTCAGCTTGAAACCTTAGACCTTCCCACTGCAGATACCATAGATTAAAATGTAAAATATAGGCGTTTCCTGGTCCAGGAAACTCATGCACGGCCAGGAGCAAGTCAGGGAGGATGCTTCCCAGACCAGAGGCCACATGTGGGAACCAGGCTCTTTGGGGCCAGCTGACAAGTCTGCAGTGGAGCCCTTTACAAGGCACTGGACTTTAGCCACCATGACATGGGTATGAGCTAGGCTTTTTGCACTGGGAAATCTAGGTATTTGACTTTCCTTTCAGGAATCTGAGCCACTGCTTTTCCTTATGCTTAAAAATCTCTATTAATAAAATTACCAAAATATTCTATGAAAAAGTTGGATTTGGCAGAAAAATAAATTTACTCCTTGGTCCAGGTGCCTAATTTTAGATACAAGTATATGTAGATTCTCTGTACATACACTCAAAGAGTTTCATATATATATATATGTAATTTTTTTAATGTTTATTTATTTTTGAGAGAGAGAGAGAGAGAGCGTGCGCAAGTGGGGGAGGGGCAGAGAGAGGGAGACACAGAATCTGAAGCAGACTCCAGGCTCTGAGATGTCAGCATAGGGCCTGATCTGGGGCTCAAACCCACAACCTGCAAGATCATGACCTGAGCCGAAGTTGGACACTTAACTGACTGAGCCACCTAGGCATCCCTATATGTTTATATTTTAAAATATAGTAAATACAGATTTTCTACTTAGGAATCTGTTATTTTTAAAGAAAGAACTTGACCAGTGTTTGTTGATTTTTCCTTTCCTGGGTAGAAATTCTAAAGAAATTCTATAAAAAGTCCATATCTTGTAAACTGAATGTGGGATTTATTCTTCTGAATGAATGAAATACAATTAGCAGGGTTACTTTCTTCTCAGGCAAAGCATGAAGGAACTGCAAGAGATTTAAAGGGAATTGTGAGGAAAGTTTAAACAGGAGCCTTAATAACAAATTTAATACTACTTGCATCTAAGGAATATGATTCAGAATTGTGTAGCTTTCCCAAGACAACCAGTAAAAGTGTATTAGGAAAAAAAATACAATATTTTCATCACATGTGGTCCATGTTGGCCTCATATAGCCCTGGATTTTTGTGGACATAGGGGAGGAAAAAGAAAAGCAGACAGTACTTGGGCCTGTGGAGAAGCATAGGAAAGCAAGAGTAAAACACTTTAGTTAGATCTGATTGTTAATACAACCAAACAAGAATAGGAAAAGTACTATAGGTTAATTAGGATTAATGTCTAAGATCTGGTAAAAAGTGAGACATAAATGGGGAAACAAAATTTAAGGCCGCTGGAAAAAAAAAGAAATACTATTTCAGGGCTGATTTACTATGTTTCTAGTGGGTCCGCAATGGTGTGGATTATTTTTATATAACCCAGATAATATAACACAATTCTTTTTTTTCTCCTCAGAACCTCTTCTTACTATGTAAGATTTTCCACATGTGAGGTCCCTCACTGGGTTATAAAATTGGAATGTAACTGTTAATTTTAGTTCGATGTCTTTGTGAGATGCATTCTGCTATCCACACGATATTTCTCATTTCTTGTTCCTTCAGCTTTGTGTATGCATAAAACACACCATAGTGGAATTGCCTGTTGAATGCCAGCACATTCATTTGTACCTGAGGAAAGAAAAAAAAAATACGGACCATCACTTCTTGGGAGCATACTACATTTATGAAGTAACATTAAGCTACAGACTAACTTGTGTTTGTGCGGTGCTTATTTGTATTTAAATAGGCAATGTCCAAAATGGGTCAAATAGAAGAAAACAGTAACAACCCAACCCATCAAGTTCTAAAGGGAGCATTAATGTCACTTTATAGATGAAGATAGACAATAGTAGTTTTACAAAGGCAAGTTTATATAAATAAATAAATATAAATAAATATAAATAAATAAATACAAAGTAGGTTTCTAGAATCGCAAGACGAACTCCAAATCTGAGCAGCACTGCTACCACAAAAGATAACGAAAATCTTGGTGTTTGTGTGGAACTTTGTAGTAATATAGTTGGCTTTTAGCCAGAGGCTTGTTTCACTTAGGTAAACTACTTTTCCTTGGCCACAACTTTGAACATTTTAAAAAGGTTTGTAGGCTATCTAACTCTCCTCCATGGCAATGTCACAGGCCCCTGGGATTTGGAATGAGTGACATTATGAGCTTTCTTAAGATGCTCTGCAGCAACAAGACATATGGTTGAATTGTTTTGTTTTGTTTCTGTAGAAGGTAGATCAGTAAAAGAAAATTTTCAAAGAAAATTTGTTTAACTGGGGTGAAGTCTGAAATGGAATAATTCTTTTATTCTTTTCCATTTTGAAAAAAAAGGATGAGAGGTACTGAGTCCCTCGTGCAGCTCTGAAAACCTCAAGCCAAGTATTCAGGAAGTGGACGTCCTTGCTTGCAGGAACAGACACTTAATTTTCCTGCCAAGGGCAGCTTTCTTAACAGCTTTCTTTGAAGCACTTGTGCAATAGTGTGGAATTTTAAAAATATCCCTAAGATATGGGATAACTTGCATTGTTTTTACTTTTTTCTGTGACAGGCACTAGAGAGCTGTTGGAAAATGTGTACAGTAGGACTTACAGGAAGGGTCCCGTACTGCTTTGTGGAGCCAGTCTTACCCTAAAATTTGGATAGATTTCAGGGTTCTCTGTCAATCAATTAAAAGGGAAGAGCCAGTGGTTTTAGAGAAATGAATAGAATATACCAGAAAAACTCTCTAAATTTGGGAGACCTTATTATCCCCCTCAAAAAAAGGCCTTTTTGTTGAATGGTTTAGTAGCCCAGGAATTGACTATGAATGGATTAAGTGTTCTGCTTTTTAGGAAAGAGAATCATCTATACTCTCTGGATGGATTTCTATACAAATAATTAGTAAGTGTTGCAATTGTGTTCATAAGCTATATTATAACCGTAGACAAATCCTTCTTGAAGAAGGAATGGATCAGAGAGTAAGATGCACTTAACAGAGTGTACAGCATGAGGATAGTCAATATATGATCATGGGAATGTCCTAGCTCTGATTCTCTGGTGAATTATGGAATTGCTGCTTTCCTTGCAGAGCATCACTACGCACACTATGTGTTTCTGGGTAGGACAATTGCACAGGAAGCCATCATATGAAAACCATTGGCCTTCCAGGGATGCTAATACTCATTTGGCCATCAAATTGTGAATGTGTTTAATCAAGTGAACTGATCAACTGTAAAAAGACCCGCCACACACAAAAAGAAAATCCGAAGAAAACATCTAAATCCCAGAGCAAGAGAAAAAGAGAACATAAACTAATAGCATTTCCATTTATATCATACCTCACGCTCATAAAACACATCCTCCAACGTCTTTCCTCCACTGCCATCACCCACAGCCTCAAACAAAGGCTTATATACCTAAAAAACAAAAAGATTATTTTAAACGAATTCTCATTTCTTATATATGAGGATATTTTCCTGGCTATATAGAAAATGATGTATCTGTCTGTTCTAAAAAATCTATCCAGAAGAGCTGAATGGTTTTTTGTAGGATTTTGGCCTCCTGAAAAAATACCCCAAAAATCCAGATAAAAAAGTATGGATGGAATTCTAGCCATTGGCTTATTCAGGTCTTTAGAAGAAGCAGCAAAAGCAATTGTACTCTCAATGTACATTAGATGAGCTATTTTCTACATTCAGTTCTTAGGGTTAGTTGGGCACATTATAGAGGCTAAATGAATGCTGAGGTTTAACCATCACAGGTTCATGGGTTCTTTGGCATGGCAGTTGATAAACTTCACATGGAATTTCAGGTGTGGAAGGGGTGGAGATTGGGGAAACGTTCAAAATTTAATATTATGCTCAAAAGCTTCTTGAAATGACACGAGATACTACAAACTTTTATGCAGTTTACTGGCTTCTCTTTTCTGGAAGTCTTCAGAAACCCATAGGAAAAGATAAGAGTGTCATTCCAGTTCTGGAAAAGTTACCTGGAGGAAATCATGTTTCTGTAAATTAGAAAGAATGGGATCTGGGGATGAGGTGTAGAACCTGGATGTGGATTAAGGGCAGGACATAGCAGCCTTCATTCCAGTGCCTATTTCTGGCCACTGAAAAGGTATAAACCAATATGTCCATGTTCTCCCTTGTATTTTCGGTAGACATTCTGTACCTGAGCCTGTTTCCCCTACTGGCACTTGAAAGGACTACTGGGTCAGGCTATTTTATATAACTTTGACATGAGCTCACATATCCAGAACACTACACCAGTCCCTTGGGGAACTTGCTTTATCAAGCACTTCAAATAAAGTGCTCAAATGACTGCTCCTTGGAGATTTAAACAAGTACTTGCTTGGCAGGAACCTCAAAAAAAAAAAAACAAAAAACAAAAAACGAAAAAAAAACACTAGTATGGGTTAGAAACTTCAAGTATTTCTTTGGGAGACACAGTTACAGAATGACATTGCTTTCTACCTTACAAACATTATAACTGCTCTAGATAAGATGTGTAATTTTGATGTGTGAACTTCTAAAGTACACGTGATGAAATAGCATGAGGCTTTCAGGGTCCCCAGTGTGGTCACGTACTCCATAATGGTCTGCTACTCTCCTCATCTGATCGAAGTCTTCTGCTTGAGCCAACAGGCGCAGCCCCTCAGGGTACAGCTTGCCACAGGTCGGGTAGAGGGTCTCCCGGTCGTCTTTGCTCAGTTCAGTGCCAAAGGAGTTAAGAGTGATGATAAAAGCACGTCTGTCAGCCTCAAACTGAATTTGCAAAGACATAGTATCAGCAAAATCTAACCATGTACTAACTGCTGTAAACAGAACCCTAAGTAGACAAATTTATGTCCAGAGTGATTTGCTCTCTTTTCTGGATTTATGTCTAGTTTTAATACAAATATGTGTTATTAATATTCCCTTAGTCTCAATGGAGTAATTTTGCTTCCCAGAAAAGGATCACCTAGTGATAATAGGTTAGGACTCTTGAAACCCCACTAAACTTTAGTTCCCAGGAACTCTGCAATTAGTTACTCATGTGTCTCTGTCACATAGGCCACTAGAGTCTAAAATTTCTCTTCCATGAAAATGGGAATAAACCTACTTGTTGGGGTCTGTTCAAGAATAGGACAAGATAATGTAAATGGAAGTGCCTGGGGGGTATTTGGAGCAAAAAGTGCACGAAATAAATATTAACATCTCTTTCTGGTTATTGATGTCAGTAGGATTTTTTACATAATGAAACTTTATGCTATATGCCATTTGTTTATACTTTTTAAAAATGTTTTATTTATTTTGAAAGAGAGAGAAAGAGAGAGAGAGAGGGAGAATGTGAGCGGGGAAGGGGCAGAGAGAGAAGGAGGGAGAGAGAATCCCAAGCAGGCTCTGTGCTGTCAGTGCAGAGCCAGATAGGGGCTCGATCTCATACACAGTGAGATCATGACCTGAGCCGAAATCAAGAGTCAGATGCTTAACCGATGAGCCACCCAGGCACCCCACCATTTGTTTGCTCTTTAATAGTTTTGGTTTTCTTCTTTAAAGTCCTAGGTTGGACATCAATAAATCTAACTCAGTAGCTAAGAATTACATGGCCTAGGACAAGTTACTTTTCTCTCTGGCCTCAGTTTTCTCACTTGTAAGATGATAGGGTTTGACCTCATGATCTTTCAGGTGGGTCACGTATGCTCATGGCCTGCCTTTGTGCTCAGCACCACTAGGCAACTGAGCAAACAGCTCCAAGTCAAGCCTGTTTCCTGTAACCACTCTGTTTTTCTTGAAATTTCTTACTATTCCTTTGGTCTCCATGTTTCTTCTATCTCTTGGTTCTTTTCCTACCTCTTCTGACCATTCCATCTCAGTCTGTCCTTTCTGGGATCCTCTCTGCTTATCATGGGAGTTTATTATAGCATCCTTGAGCTACAAAACTCTACATTCCTGAAACACCCTGCACTTGCATTCTTTTAAAATCTGGAAATTCTTTCTCTCCTACTCCACTGTAAAATCTTTGAGGGAAATCATGTCACTCTTTTTATTTTTTATTTTTAATATCCAGTGCCTGGAAGTGCATAAGAAGATCATTGAATCTTCAATGAATCTTCATTGAATCATTGAATCCAACAGGATGGTCTGTGAGTCTCTTATTTTCAAATTTCTATAATATTCTCTACAATGTTGCTACTCAAGGTGTGTTTCATGGTTCAGTAGCTTTGATGTCACTTGGAAACTTGTTAGAAATGCAGAGTCTCAGGCCATAGTCCAGCCCTCCTGATCCAGGGCTTACATTTTAACAGTATCCCAAGGTTATTTGAACGAACACAATAGCTGAAATAAATTGCTCCGCAATAGCCTTTGATCAGCGTACTTTTGACTAATTAACGAATCTAGACTTGCAACAGATTTTGCTGGAACTCTTCTGTTAGAACAGGTGTTTCCTATCAAGAGGGTGAGCTTTAGTTCCTTCTGATCCTTTTGATTGATCTCATGGAAAGCGTGGGTGACCCAGAAGCAGGGAGTGGCCTCATTTGGAAGCAAAGGCAGCTGCCTCTGGCCTCTGAATGTCACCAGTCCTAGCAGTAAGTTTAGACCTTCCAGGGACAGGAGAAGAAATGTAAGAGGGAGATTTCATGGCAATAAGAAACTTTGAAATAAAAATTAGAGCAGGAGGAGCAACAATAGAGCCAATTGTCCCACATGCCCTTCAAGGTGCTTCCTAGCTCTAAGATGTTGGTTTTTATTCCTGTTTCCCCCCACTTTTATTGAGAAATAATTGACATGCATTGCTGTGTAAGATGTTGGGATTTTCCAGAGAGAAGTAGGGTGGGGCAGCAGAACTGCAGACGGCCCGGCAGCAGAGGCCGTTCTGGAGGAGGACGCCGCGTGAAGTTAAAGCATACATTGTGGAGGAATGGTCATGGCTCAGGCACTGGGAAAGCAGTTGAAGAAGAAGAAGAAGTCTGGACAGGTAGCTAGGAAGAGAACAGGAAAGGCTTTGCGTGCCATGCCAGGAGAGGACTTTGGTTGATACAATTGGTTATCTGAAACACCACACACATTCCAACTTCTTGTTCTTGTAAATACTTCTTCCCTCTGCCTACAATGTGTGTACTTCATTCCAGAACTCTCCATGTTGAAATCTTACCTACATTGAAGGGTCCCATTAAATGGCTTTTATTTTATTTTATTTTTTTTATTTTACAAGAAGTCCTTCTATTTCCTTCCCAATTGGGTATGATTTCCTTTGACTCCTTATTATACTTCAGTTTCCCTTTTATTATAACAGTCTGTATATTTACCTCAGCACCCTTTTCTAATCTAGAGGTTCTTTGTGTGTGAGGGTGTGTTTTCTTAGTGAAAAGGACTATAATCTTGAAATTGTAAAAGGGCTATCCTGTGTTTGACCATCCCTAAGCAGACAGTTTGACACAACATCTGATTATGGAAGAGTAAATGGGGTGGTATTAGATTTCACTTAAGCCCTCTCTGTCATTTTTAGAGGGCTGGCATCCTGTGTGGCATAGAGGATGCCAGATGTCCTATGTCCTTTCACCCTTCCTTATGCTCATTCATTTTAAAACCATAACTTATTTTTTGTTGTTGTTGCAAAAACTAAGTGTACTGTTGACTTATTCAAAGTCATTATCACTTGCACATGATGGAGTTGGGCTGATCACACATTTTTGCCGGTTCATCATTCGAGGAAAGGAATACCTTGTGGGGGCAGTGGGTGGAAGAGTCAACGACAATGGAAGAGTGAACTGGAATCAAGCCCGGCCTCATTAGCATGTGTACCAACCAGGGAAGATGAAACAAACTTATTCATCTGTGCTTGTTTTTCACTGTTTCATTAAACATATAGATTGTCAGGAGAGCAAAGACAAATAATAAAAGGCATAAAGGCAAACAGTACATTGCAGTGTATTTCCCTTGACCATAAGTCAGTTTCTTTTTTTTTTTTTTTTTTTTTTTTTTTTCCCATAGGAACTCACAAGCTTGTAATTAGGTCAAATGTTTGCATGCAAGTCCAGGTTAATGCTCTCTTTCACCATATTAAGTCTTTTTCAGTCTCCTGTCAACCCAGATTAAATAAGAACATAGATGGAAGAATGTGATAACTGAGGTGCTCTAATGTTGCACAAATAAAATGAGAGGTAATTACATGATCTGATATATTTATATAAATCTGAAAAATCTCTTCTGATCATATCATTAGACACATTATAATTGCATGCTCTGTGTAACTAATACTTCAGTGTAATGTATAAAGGTAGTTGAGTGGACTTTTATTTTTTTATTTTTAATTAAAAAAATTTCTTTAATGTTTATTTATTTTTGAGAGACAGAGAGAGAGACAAAGTGTGAGCAGGGGGAAGTCAGAGAGAGAGGGAGACACAGAATCTGAAGCAGACTCTAGGCTCTGAGCTGTCAGCACAGAGCCCAACGTGGGGCTCAACTCACGAACCGCGAGATCACAACCTGAGCTGAAGTCAGACACTTAACCCACTAAACCACCCAGGTGGCTCAAGCGGACTTTTATTCTTAATGCAGCTTAAAAAAGAACCTAATCTAATATGGTAGTATCATGGGTATAGGAAAGGGATAATGAGAACACTGGGTATTATATAGTATTTTGATCAAACCCTTCCAGTGACAAGGATTCTTCTACTACTATGCTGTCCTTTCTGCATTACTGAGGATTACAGAGACATAATTCTTATCTATTTTTGATTTTTATACCACATGCAGTATGATCTTGCTTATGAATTAGTACTTACTTTTATACAAGAATTGTGAATGCTAACTTTAATGTATAAGTAAAATAGTGGATGAACATAGAGGAACCAGAGAGAGGCTGCCTGAGTTCAAATTCTGACATTTCCACTTCTTAGGTGTGTGTCATCAGGCAAGTTACTAGCTTCTTTGTGCCTCAGTTTCCCCTTCTGAAAAATAGATGCTAAACTCCCATCTTGTTGTTGTTGTGCTGTTTTGAAGTCCAAGTGAATTCATGTACATTAAGCTCTTAGGATAGCATCTGGCACATAATACATGTTAACTATTGATAATGTCATTGTATACCTCTTGAAATGTTCTGAGTTTTGCCATAGCTCTTATTGCACATAGTTTGTGGGTATAAAGCACACAAGCCATTTCTAAACCACAGGAATTATGCCATGTTGAAATTACACTTTTGAGCCATGGATAATGTGGCTTCTTATAGTGTGGCTAGTAGTTAAAAATTTATGACAAGAAAAGGGAGTGCTTCTTAGGGCCAGCAGATTACTTATGTTCAGAATGTCTGAAAGAGACTAGCTCACTTTCTGACATTTAGTATGCCATAAAAAAATGTTATTTATTTATCAGTGCCCACTTCCTGTGTAATATAGATAAAGGCAAAAAAGAATTTTTGGAGTTCTCCAGTGATAAATTTTTACTTCAAGGACTGCTTTTGCTTGAAGAGTTTCAACAGGGGATGGCAAAGTATCTTCAACTGTAAAATTTTAAAGATTAAATGTTTTGAGGGGAACTAATTTTATCATATGCAGTTTCAGAACATTAGGTTAAAATACATGCAGATGAAGGTATTCAAGTTTTTTGTTTTTTCCTTTTTTTGCTATGGGGCAGTTCTTACCAGGCCTTTCTCTTTCTTTCTTTCTTTCTTTCTTTCTTTCTTTCTTTCTTTCTTTCTTTCTTTCTTTTAATGTTTTTTTAAAAAAATTTAATGCTTATTTTTGAGAAAGAGAGAGAGAGAGAGACAGAGAGCAGGAGTGGGGGAGGAGCAGAAAAAGAGGAAGACACAGAATTCAAAGCAGGCTCCAGGCTCTGAGCTGTCAGCACAGAGCCCAATGCATGGTTCAAACTGATGAACTGCAAGATCATGACCTGACCCGAAGTTGGACGCCCAACTAACTGAGCCACCCAGGTGCCCCATTACCAGGCTTTTCTTGAAATCAGGTTATTGAACTATTTAATCTACCTACCAACGAAGTCACTGTGACAGATAATCTAATGATTAAAGATATTCTTTAGACAAAACTTAGTTTCACAGGACAAAGCAAAGGGCTTTTCTAAGTCTAGAATGGTACCCACCTCCCTCCTCCACCATTTTGTTATTCATGTAAAGCCAGAAAAAGAGATCTATAGGAAACACAGTACAAAATATGCCCAGCATGTTCCCAGATCCTTCTGATCTCTGAGATCAACATGTGCGAACAGGAGGATCTCTGAGCACAGATGAAATCTGTGATGAGAAAGGGAAATTAAGAAGTTTATAGCATCAATTAGAGAGGTAGAAAGCAATGGTGGCATTTGACAGATAATTAAGTGAGCATGCCAACTGTGAATCACCTAACCCCAAAAGTCTTCCTAACCAGAGCTGGAATGCCCGAGGGTTGTTTGAGTTTCCTTTATTTTAGGATTTATATAAGGAACAAGGCCCAGAGTGGACTTTGGTTCCAAGTTGTGAGAATTCCCAGATGCCCAGTGTTCCCTCATTGGAGGGAAGTTGAGTGATTATTACAAGTACTCGTATTTCACCAATTGTTAATAGTATACCAAATTTTTAACTAATTATAATCTATTCATACCACATAAAAATGAATCATGACCAAATTTTGTAAGCATTTTTCTTTTCTAATTCCAAAATAACTTTTCAATGTAGAAAACTTGCAAAATACCATTCTTAACTGAAAGCATCAAATGATATATATGATAAAATATGTTGTTTATTTTATTTTTATATAAAGGAGCTTCTAAGATAAAGAAAGACAAGTAGGACTATGCAAGTGAAAAGTGTGTAAGCATATTATTTGGCATAAAGAAATTCAAGGACTTTCTTACCTCAAGAATGGGACACATGATTTCTGCTGTGACATCACCATGATTCTTACAGAATTTATAGAATGCCTCGAGGTAAGACTTAAAAAGAAGAAAGATCATAAAACAATAAAATGAAGATATTTTCCTTTGGAAATTTGTAGATCAGCTTTTCATGGCTTATTAAATACTTTAATGGAAATTGAATTACTTGTCCCATAGGGCAATATTTTATTAAAAATTTGGTACAAACTTTCACAATGAAGTATGTTGCACAGTTTTAAAAAAGAACAAAATTGTACTTATCATACCTTATGATTCCTTAACAAGCACTTTTTTTTGCATGGTTCTTGGGTTTATTTCACATGATTAATGTTTGGTACTCTAATAAGAGTGCCAAACTCTTTTATGAGCTCAACAAATAATCCTAGATTTGGTCCTGTGCCTACATTTAATCTCTCTTGGTGCTCAGGAGACACGTTTGGGATGGCTTTAAACATGGAAGACACGCTGGAAAGGCAGAGTCTGGGCTGTACAGTTAGACTGACTGTGTTTGAATCCCAACTCAATCACTTACCATTTAACTGACTTCTGCCAAGTAAATCTTACCTCTCCATGTCTCAGTTTTCTCATCCAAGGAATGGGGATAGCACATAGTTTTGCTGTGTGGATTAAGTGAATTAATGCCTATAACTTACTTAAAACCATGCCTTCTGTTAGCTATATCTCAAAGATGGCTGCTCTAAGTCCATAAGTTTCTTTATAAAGAGGAAAATTGCCTGCAACACAATGCTTTTGAAAGGACCTTATGTTTTAGCATAACCAGTTATGTAAATGGCATGACAGTATATATGCCTTCAGTTACTCTGTGAGAGTGTCTAAAGATGCTATTGTTGTATGAGTGTAAATGGACAGAGTTTGCTCAGTGCATATGATATAGAGCTACTCAAATGGTGGCAGCATAGGCAGATAGCTGGCCAGATCATGCAAGGTGGTACCTATGTTGTAGTGTCCACGAGTTGGTCATCTTTGTATGCTGCACACTGTCAGTAAATGGACAGGTTAACTGTGAAACTCAAAGACTCTATAATAGGATTAAGGATAGAGATGGATGCTACATGACACAAGGCTCACTGTGTATGCTGGGTTTTGTGTTTTTTTTTTTTTTTAATTTTTTAAAAGATTTTATTTTTTTAAGTTTTTCTTAATCTTTATTTATTTTTGATAGAGAGACAGAGCATGAGTGGGGGTGGGGTACAGAGAGAGGGAGACACAGAATCCAAAGTAGTTTCCAGGCTCAGAGCTGTCAGCACAGAGTCTGACGCGAGGTTTGAACTCATGAACTGTGAGATCATGACCTGACCCGAAGTCGGTCACTTAACTGACTGAGCCACCGAGGCACCCCTAAAGATTTTATTTTTAAGTAGTCTCTACATCCAACACGGGGCTCGAACCTACAACCCTGAGATCAAGAGTTGCATGCTCTATTGACTGAGCCAGCCAGGCACCCCTATATGCTGGTTGTTTTAAAATGGATATGGTTCATCTTGCTCATCTATCCACCCACCTACCATTCACCCATCCAGCTGCTACCTTTTATGCTCTAGGCACACCAGGCAAGGAGCTAGGAATACAGAGAAAGATGGGCGCATTACTTCCTCTCAACAATCTTGCTGCTTCAGGGGAAGCTGACGTGTATGTATTTAACCAAAAGACCAAGACTGTAAAAGCTGTATTCCAACCATGTATAGCTTCATAATTGCAGAAGTTGGCTAATGGGCAAAGTAACTTTCGATAAAGAACTCTGGTTAAGATGTATTATGTAAAAAAGAAAACCATAATATTTTGGGAGACACTTACCTTGTACAGTTTATTGCGCAGTAATTCAATATTCAGTTCATCTAGGGTATTTTCAGACATGCAGTCTTGAAAGAATGGAGCTGAAAGTGGAAATGATCACACAAAATAAATTCATCAAAAGCATGATTATCAACTATGGAAAGATTTCCTGCACATACCATCCTGTGCTCATTCCTGACCAGGACACTGTGGAGTGGCAATCCACAGACTGGATAAAGCTACCAGTAATGGTGACAGTGAGAGTGATTAGTTATTTAGCATTTACTCTGTGCAAGCTGTTCACTAAACATTGCATGTATTTGATCCTCACAACACCTTGGACCTGTTCACTTTATGCCTTACTTTTTGAAGTGCCCCTACCCCTCATCTAATCGTAATATTTATCACTTCCAACCTCACTATATGCTAAGGATTGAGCTGTGCTAAAACTGTGTCATATTTAGTTTTCAAAACTCTGTTATACTAAGATACTATTGTTTTTATTTTATTTTTTTTAATTTTTTTTAACGTTTATTTATTTTTGAGACAGAGAGAGAGAGCATGAACAGGGGAGGGGCAGAGAGAGAGGAAGACACAGAATCTGAAATGGGCTCTAGGCTCTGAGCTGTCAGCACAGAGCCTGACGCGGGGCTCGAACTCACGAACCGTGAGATCATGACCTGAGCCGAAGTCGGACGCTTAACCGACTGAGCCACCCAGGCGCCCCATTATTGTTTTTAAAATGAGGAAACTGAGATGCACTGAATTGCCCCAAGTCACCATGTTGGGACCAGACAGAGCCTGGAATCAAACATCCATGATTATAGGCTTACCCTCTTTCTTTCACACTCCCTTAGCACCACATTTAATGACACCATTTTTTTTTCTGTTTAAAATTTCTGTTTTCAACAGCAACTATTTTGACAAATGATCTACAGTGAATTGCTATGAACTGCTACTATCCAGGTTTCCTGACAATAATGTATATAAAATTATCCCATTAGCATTTTGAATGCTAGAACTATTATCAGTGCTACATTATAATGAAATTAGCATTTGTTTCCTCATTGCTTCAGGTCATTTGACAGGCACCCCTGAGCGTCTCAGAAAAATGGCATTCCTAAACTTTCTAAACAAAATGTACACAGCCTTATTTAGACAGAAATTTAAAAGGAAAGGATAAGGAATTAATCATATAGAACCCAGTTAGAAAATTAATTTTTTGAAAAATGACAAGTTCTATCATTTATTTACTATGATCTGGTACAAAGTACAAAGATGTGGAGGTCGAGAGGTAGCCCCAGCTCCTACTGGGCTACAAATGGATCTTATGTGACTCTAGGAAGGTTACTTTCATTTGTTGCCATCTGAAAAATGAGGGAGCTGAACTAGATGATTCCTTAATGTCCCTTCCATGTCTATGAATCTGTATAGTATGATATTATATTCATGGAGAAAACGATGAATTGAATGTGCATTTTTTACTGACTATGATGATGTGCACACGCAGCTATACAACTGCTTATGCATTTGTACCTAATGGTGTTTCAACCAGAACAGCATTGAAGAGGTCCGAAGGTGTCTCAGCAATGTTGACTGCTTCCATTTCTGTGAAACGGCCCAGTGGGTGGCACTTCACCAGAATTTCTTTCACAGATTTTTTTTGCAATGCACCGTTCATCAATAGAATCACATTGTCTATCATGTAACTGCACCTGGTTTAGAAGAAAGAAATCAATTGCATGAGAATAAGCAGCATACCACCAGTAAAAAATATATATATATATATAAATAATAATAATAAATAAATAAACAAAAATATAGTTCAGGCATATACTTTTTCATTAAGGAAATATAGGAGTCTCTTCTTATTTTGAACTTTGGGGTTTGAGAGATGTGAATGGGGTAAAATATCTGACTCTCTGGGATATCATAGTTTGAAAATCAATGTTGTAATAACTAACTAAAGCTAAATAAAACCTAGGCTGGTGGAAATTTGCAGAAAATGACCCCTACATTGTATGTAATTGGTGAACATGGTATGAGGGTGAGTGTGAAATTGTGTGGTTTCTCAGAGTGGGCTATGGTCTTAAAAAGTTGAGGAACACAGACCTGGAGCATTTCACTCTATCTTAAAAACTGACTATTTAAATCTGTAGTAAAGCCCATCATTGAGGGGTGCCTGGGTGGCTCAGTCAGTTAAGTGGCCAGTGGTCTTGATTTTGGCTCAGGTCATGATATCACAGGCAAGAGACTGAGCCCCACCTTGGGATCCATGTTGGGTGTGGAGCTTGCTTAAGATCCTCTCTTTCTCTCTCTCTCTCTCTCTCTCTCTCTCTCTCTCAAAAAAAGTCAATTTCCTGCCTGTTTAAAAAAAAGCCCATCATTGATCCAAAATTAAAAATTTTTTATTAAATTTAATACTAAATATTTAATGTTTGTTTATTTATTTAAAAATTAAAATATTCTGTATTCTTTTCCTCCTATGAAACCAGGTAGTGAACTTTCTAGCCATTTTCTCCCTAGATCCCCAAGAGCCCATAGGTTCATATTTTGTATGGTTACATGGCTAAATATAAGCTCTGCCCAGGATATTCTGGATGCATATGCTTGTTCAATCATGTGCTCAGCACCCAAGATATTTCAAGCAATGAGGTTGAGAAGTAAAAGAAACATAGTCCCTTACTTCACAGAGAATATAGTTGGAGGGAGGAACTGGACAAAGAATCCATTACAGTAAAGTGTCCATAAGATGCAGCAGCTAAGTAGTTATCTGGCAACACAGTGAAAAAACTTCCAGTGGAGTTTATTGGTGGAAGGGACACGGGAGAAGGTGGCAGAAATGTGATCACGTGTGTTTAAAGTGAGTGGGAAGTAAAAAGGTTTAAAAAGAAAAGATTTCAAACAACAAATTGACCTTAAAAGGGGAAGACAGTTCAATGGAAACCCAGGGGCCAAGGGGCTTTGGATTTTGGTTTTTGTTTTTTTAAGATGGGAGAGAAAAGAACATGGTCCAGTGGTGAGAGGAAGAAGGGAGCTGAGAGGGTGAGGTTTTGAATCAGGAGAGCGAAGGGGCAGTCAACTGAGGAGCTGAGGTTCTCCAGGTTTGACAGTGACGGGACTAACCCCTGCCACAATTCAGGCTTGAAAAGTAAATGAATAAAAATTAGCCAAGTCTCTTAGAAGCACTGTCCCTGGAACGTGGCTGCAGTGGTCACAAGACTTCCTGTGCAAGAGTGCATTTCCCGCTGGAAGAGAATCTCCTTCATTGTGAAGCTTTGACAGTTTACCCCAATAAAAATTCTATCTGAAGAAGTTTAGAAGCAGGCAATTATCCCTTTATAAAAGGCACATGACTCTAAAGTTTCTTCGCCTCCCAAACAGCAGTACTAAATTTAGACATTATAGAATTTTAGACTCCTTTTTATCTCTTGAAAATGATATTAAAATGGAAGTGCTTATTTAACTGTCCTTTTATGGCTCAAAAACTATTACCTGAGAGGGGAATTGCTAGCACTTAATAACCCTTAGCAGGCTCCAGACATTTAATTGTTCCCCACAGCACCTCTGTAATGTAAAAGCATATGAGCTGCTAACATTCCCAACTTGCAGAGGACTATTAGACCAACGTTGACAGACAACCAATGTCAGTGCTGTAAGGATTTAGGCGACATGTAACACTCAAGCTTTTGCCTGTGCAGTAGGTGTGCTCATGTGTGTATTGAGTTAAACTTACTTGCTTTTAGGGATGTCTGGTTGGCTTAGTTGGTAGAGCATGACTGTAGTATCAGAGTCATGAATTGGAGCCTCACATTGGGGGTAGAGTTTGCTTAAAAAAAAATCTAAAAATTTAATTTAATTTTTTTTTTTTTTTTTTTTTTTTTTTGCTAATAGTCTAAGCCCTATATTGCAAAGAGCAGGGCTATAGAGATTGGTTTTATTTCAACTCATTATTTAAATGGTCTTGTTTCTAAGATGGAACAGTAGCACAGTTTTCCTAGTTGTTCGGGAAATGAAGACAGAACACAGGACTTGGTCCATGGCAGGGGGCAGAAGGGAGAGGACTTCTTTCCTGTCCCCTCCCTCATCCCCATCACACATATGCTGGTATATAACTATCATTGGCTCTCTGGGGTGGCAGGGGGAATGGCATGCCTAGAAATAGTTTATATTCTCCAGACTCTAATCTTTATAGACCTTCAGGGCCATGCATACAGTGATATAGTGGTAGGGAATAAAATCACTGCTGATATTGCTTGAGTAATTTCTGAGCTTAAAGACACTTGGATGTTCACCTAGTTCAATGTTCCCATGTTTTAGATAGTTGTGTTCATAAGTAGTGACAGAGCCAGGATGAGTTGGGTTAACTTTTCTTCTACTAGTAGTCCAGACAAACATCCTCATTTTAGCCCCCTCCTAAATATTTTATTCTATAACTCTGATATCGGCACCTACGAAAACCATGATGTCACTGAAAATTGTGATAGAGTGAATGACTTAATTTCAAAAATTTTAGGTTGTAAAAATTATAATTTTTAAAATACCTGCCCTCTTGGAGGCTTTTATTGTGTGTCAGACGGTGCATGCATGTTCTCACTCAAGCCACACTAGTCAATGAGTCAATGCTGAAAGGACCATCACTACCACCACTTTATTTAAATATCTTGTCCAAGATCACACTGCTAGAAAGAGGCAGAGTTGGTACCCCAAAACCAAACCTCTGACTCTGTATTAGATTCAGAAAAAATAGCTAAAGGCAAATGATATTTTCACATTTCCTTTTGGTCTTAGTGCTATTTTTTCTCTCTCTCTTTCAAGTTTATCTCTCTCTCTCTCTCTCTTTTTTTTTTTTTTTTTTTTTTTTTTTTTTTTTTTTTTTTAGTAATCTCTATGCCTGAGGTGGGGCTAGAACTCATGACCCTGAGATCAAGAATTGCATGCTTCTCTGACTGATCCAGCAAAGCACCCTTATTTTTCCTCTTTTTGTTCCCAAACTTATTTAAGGGTCTTGAAGCTAATTAAAATATATTTCTTATATGCTAACTACCAAATTCTGGGCTGTCCTTACAGTTGCTGAATGGTCAGATAATGTAGAGCCATAATTTGGCGAGTTAGAGGAATTATTCTTCAGCTCTAGTCAAAACCTCTGCTCAGCCTCAGATCTATATTCTTTCACGTCCTTTTTGTGGCTATGACTGACTGGTCTTCTCATAGACACCACAGTCATATTATCTCAAAACCTGAATGCCCCTAATGTTTCTCTTTCTTCTGTAATTGCTATCAGCAACATCACTACTTTCATTCCTAAAAATCTGTCAATGGCTTCCTTTTGCCTTTAGAATAAAGAACAAATTTCTCATTATTGTACACAAGGCTCTTTATTACTTGGCTTCTGATTACTTCTCCAGCTATGAATGTGAATAATATTATTAAAAAGAAAGTGTGCATTTTAGAAAAGTGAATAGAACAGAACCCCACCCTCCCCCACCCTGCAAAAGAAAACTCTTAAGGGGCAGTAAGAAAACTTTGCAAGGAAGACTGAGGAAGGGACAAAATGGGAAAAGGAGCATGAAGAGAAAGTGTCATCACAGAATGCAGGGGACATGGACATCAACAACTGAATACCAGGGCAAGTTATGAAAGGCTGAAAATATATCCTACTGGACCTAGCAGCTAGAGTGGTTTGGGTGGCCCTGTGGCATAGACAACAAGACTGAAGTGGTTTGAGTAAACAAGTGAGAAAATAGAGGACTCTAGACTATCCTTTTTAAGAAGCTTAGCATCAAGGTGTGGGAAAGGTAGAATATCACTGTCTTCAAATAGTCACTGTGTAAACTAATCAAATCATCCATATGACATTTTGTAAATCTTAAATTGTCCCAGTAGAAAAGCCCGTGGTTTGAAACAAAGAAACCTAATTCTGAACCTAACTCTGTCACTTAAAAACCAGTTTAACAAGAGCTCCATTTTCTCAGTCTTAAAATGGAAATATTTATTCAACTTTGAATGGTTGGCCTAAGTATTAGTAACACAAATGAAAGCACTAGCAGAGTGCCTCAGATAAAGGAAGGCAAAGTCATACACTCTTAGAGGAAGATAATTTCCTATAAACCAGACTTTGGAGGAAGGGGAGCAGAAAATTATAAGCCACATCATCTTTGGTATAAAAATTTGCAATGTTTAAACTCTTTTATGGTCTGAGATTTCTACATTTCTGTAGTTTCACATTGAGTTCTAGCCAATAGAACCTTGTCAAAATTTTCTCAGACTTTATTAACCCTTTACGGTGTAAAGACAACAACTGAGAGGTAGTCATTTAGAAGACTGGAACATCCACAAGACCATAAATTATGTTATTTGCTGGGATATTTATTAAACATTAAATCTGATTTATACCTGTTTTATAAAACTTGTTACCATCCTGTTCTGCATATTGTAACCCTAGAATGATCCTTGCATGGTCATTATTTCACAATGTTTCCTATAAGATACTGGAACTTCAAACAGTTTAATGTTTATCTCTTTGGGAATGTAATCATTAATCTGAAAACAATTCTGATTAACTAGCTGTCATGAATGACAACTGCTTTTATATATAAAAAGGCCTGAATCCCTTTGTTAGCTGGAGAATCTTCAGGGCTCTGTCTGAACTTCTCCATTTGGGTGCATTTGGATAGTAAGTAACTTGGTGCACGTGGTGATTACAACAGTTTCA